AGGGGAGTTTTGGAGTGCTTGTTCATAGTAAAAATGTCCAAAGAGTGAAGTTTATAAAGGGGTTGAAAGAATATATTCGTTGGAGTTTAGAAAGGAAAGTTTGCTAAAAAACCAGTCAAATAATCGATTATTTTGAAGCAATAATCGATTTTTAGGTTCTGTCCAACATTCCTTCAATGGACGAAATAATAATCGATTTTTGCCAAAGTGTAAAAATAGATTTTTGAAGAAATTATGCCCAAACATAAAGTACACAAACATGTGTGCGAGGTGAAGTGCTTATTTGGAATTTAGCACTTGTTTAGGGCATGAAAATCATATCAATGGGCTCCCCAATCAGCATATATAATTCAAATTCAAAATTTGAATTATGAGAATATATTTTTGGTGTAGAAAATGAGTCCCAAAAATATTTTGCGTTTCAAACGATGTACATGAAAAATATTTGAATAAAATATTTTTGCTTACCAAAAATATTTTATAATATCAAAATAAATATTTGATAAATGTTTGACACACCTTTTGTAACTGAGTCAATAAAACTATTTTAAACAGTTAAAATGATTTTTTAACTGACTCCAAAAATAAATATATATTTATATTAATTCTCTTAAAAATAATTTTGGAGAGAAGATATTTTTATCATCCTTACAATTATTCCTAAGACTCAAATAAATAAAAAGGTCTTCGGAAATCTTCTACTCCTCCGAGTCTTCCGTTAGGCGCTCCGAACGCGTCTCGGACTCCAATAAAATCTTGTGCAGCTTCTTGAATACTTCAAGGAATGGCACTTCAAGTCTTCGTGTTTGTCGTTGTAGCACTTTGATCTTGACTTGAATAAATTGTGTTTGTCAATTATCAAAACCTATGAGTCAACACTTAACAACACAGAAAGGGTTGAACTCATGCATTCCAACAGCTTCGTTGTGCGCCTCTCCTACTCGATCTTTGTCTTCAGGTACATGTTATCCTATTTCCAGATTTGTTTGTTACTCCCTCCGTCTCCCTAAGATGTTCTCATTTTGACTTTTGGTTGTTTTTAAGGAAAGTTGAAAAAAAGTGAATGTTTACCATAATACCCTTAATGAAAAATGGGTGGAGTGTATTAAATGAGGTGGGTGAGGTGTAATAAATAAAGTAAGTGGGGATAGTTGTGGCATTTTAATTGTTAAAAAATGAAATGAGAAGATCTATTGTGGACAAAGAAAAAGGGCTATTGAGAAGATCTATGAGGGACAGAGGGAGTATTTTAACTTGCATGACAGGTACCGCAGAGTTTTGGGAGTTATTAGTCCCCATTCCCAGGAATTATGCTGAGGCCGCCCCCACTCCAATTGGCGTGACGCCATGCTCAAGGAAATTCAAGCATTGGAGAATAATCATACTTGGGATCTCACGGTATTACCTCCCAAACGGACAGCTTTAGGTTGTTAATGGGTTTTTAAAACAAAATTTAACTCCGATGGTACTAAAGAGCGTGACAAAGCCCGACTGGTTGTTCTTGGGAATCACCAGACATTGGGTGTAACGCCCTACAAACCGGCCTAGTTTTAAATAAATAAATATTATTTATTTATTGAGACTCATTATTTTGAAATTAATAAATATTGAGATTTCGACCTCTTTAAATGGCTATCCAAAGCTTATGTATTTTAATATAAAAAGATGTTTTAATAACGGACCTCTCAACATTAAGTAAATAAATTAATTAATGATTGGGGTGGACCCGGAAGTTTGAAAATAAAGTTCTTAGAAAAATTATTTGAACATGTCATTAAATTCGTTTTGACTGTCTGATTCCGGAAACACAAACGGATCTCAATTCGGACCCGCTTAGGGGGAAAAGCGCGTACCGTTCTGGTCAGATTTTAATATAACGGAGTAAATAAACATTTGTAACTCCCAAAACCATTCCACACGCCATTCATCCTTATTCATTCTTCCATTTTTAATTCTCCATTAATACTCATTATACCACCACCATTATATACAACCCTCTCTTCTTCATCCCTTCACCATTTTGTAACACCCCAACACCATTAACACACAACCATCCAACTCCCTCTCTCTCCCTCTTCCTTACGGACGCCGGCCAGTAGAATCCTAAAAGACGACGGAGCTCCGGCGAAGAGAAAGAAGGAGAAGGACGAGAAGAAGAAGGAGGTGTCCACGAGAAACCATTCGCCGTTCGACATTGTCAACTATTCGTTCATCTCATTTCATTGTTCCGTCAATCCCTTCAACTAGAGGTGAGTAGTTGTCCCTCTAATTCTAGAACATTTAGTTATAATCTATGTCGTTATATTCATAGGAATATCGTGCGCAACCTACGTAGAATCTATGCATGTTCGTAGGTTAACCATCAAACATACGTGTGTCCATGTTATCAAGTTATGTACTCGTTATTATAAATGTTTTGAAACCTTGTAAGTTATTCGATTATCTAGCATGGAAATATAAACAT